CCTCGCGTTCAGGAGTGTCAGTTGCTATCATGGTTTTTCCTTTGCGCCGTTTTGTTGTTTGAGTGGTTGTTCTTGGTTTAGTTTTCGGGAAACCTCTAAAAATTTTCGGGCTCAGAAATGTTGCTTCAGAAGTGTCATTTGTCATAGTCTCAGAACTATTTCCGTGGATCTTAGTCGATGTGGAAGGACCTGGAGAGGCCAGTGTCGATAATGAAGGACCTGGGAAAGGCAAAGTCGGTATTGAAGGAGATGGGGTATATTCTCTATCAGTTACTGAACTTGGCATAAAGTCTTCCACATTGAAAATATGTCTATCAAAAGGAAATATCCCGCATTTCCTAAACGCATTGGTAATGTTTACCGGAGTCATCGCTCGAGGATAAGCAATGCCCACGCATGATGCAACATTATAAATGCTAAAAGTTTGTCCTGGATGGCTCATCATCCAGCTATCGATCGCCGAGCTTTAAAATGTCTGGAATGGCTTTAGAACCCCAACATCCAGGGGTTGCAGCTTATTTGTACAATGTGGTGGTATAGTTAATATAGTCACCCCGTTTTCTTTGCAAATGTCTATGGCCTCTATGGATAGATGGCTAACATGGTTATCCATTATTAGCAGAGATGGATTTTCTTTACAACTAGAAGTATGTCGGATAAAGTGATTTATAACCTGCACAAAACATTCGGTGTTCATCCATCCTCCCTTAGCAGCTAACCCTAGGGTTCCTGGTGGAGCTCCGTTTGTTATAAAGTCTTTAAAATGGACACGCGGGAAAATCATAGCCGGGGGAATAGCTACACCTGAGGCCCCAACTATACAACAGGTTGTTACAAGAGTTCCACGTTCGGCACTGGTTGCCTTACTGACTTGCCGAACACCTTTACAAGCAAACACCTTTTGTGATTTCTGTACTGTTTGCGTCCCGGTTTCATCTAAATTGAAAATTCTGGTTCCATCTCCAAATGCAGGATGACGCTGTAAGACTTCTTCTAGTTTATTAAAAAAAGACTCCACATTAAATTTATTAAATCCAGTGGCTCTTGATAAACTGCAGCCTTCTGGGGTTCTGAGCGCTAAGATGGGGTGTCTTTTTTGAAAGCCCTTTACCCAGGCAAGGGATGCTGATTGGCACGCATTCCATTTCTCAGGAATATTTATTTTATTTCGGATTGCGCATTCATACACTAACCGACGGGTGTCATCTCGAGAGAGTCCATAAAACATTTTTGCACATGTAATAATATAACCACCAATTTCATTCTCTTGCTCTGAAGTGAAAAATTGATTGACTGTATAGTTTGGACACATTCTAACATCAGGATCGTTTCTAAACTTTTGAACATATCTGGCAAGAGTCTGAAAAGACAAGCCTTTTTCTCTAGTGGCTTGACGGATACTCATTCCTTGTTGGACTAACAGAACAGCTTCTCTCATTGCTGTGTCACTACATCGCCCCACTACCCTGTCTGTTTTATTCTTTCTTGGCATTACTATTGTCTGTAATAAAAATTATACCTGGTCAGTAATGCCGCTATGCAATAAGTAACACTAAGACATGCATTAGGAACACTGAGACACGTCTCACTGTTCCAATTATGACTAGTCTCAGTGTTCCTAAACCACATTTTTTATAAATACTTTTCACAAAATATTAAATCTTGAATTTACAAGCTAAAAACTATAGTCATGTGCTACCACGACACTAATAAACACTTCTAGTAGACTTACCTTGTTTAAATTGGTATTAACCAGGAAACATTCTAATTCAAAGAGGGCTAATAAATTTCCTTTGTCACACACTAAACTGATCATCTGTTACTGCTTTTTTACTTTATCAACTAAATTGCATCTGATGTATTGAGAGCCCTCTGTTGGTTGGTAGGGTTACTATTCAATGGTCTGCATCATCCAAATACAGATACCTTTTGACAAAACTATCATGTCTCAGTGTTCCAGCCGTCTCACTGTTACTACCTCTCCCCTACTATTATTAGTCTACGCCCCTTTCCTGATGGTGGATAGATAAATTTTATCATTTAAAAAAGCCTGTCTTCGACTTGTAACAGTTTCATCTTGCCAAAATTTATTTGGTTTATGTCCCTCGTGATCCATGTTTCATCTAAATAAAATATATTTCTTCTTTGGTTTCTCATTTCTTTTATAGTCCTTAGGTAATTTCGTCTCCATACTACAATATCGCTTCTTTCTATTAAAATAGACTTTCTGGAATGCTTTTTCCATAGAAAACCTATTTCTGTTAAAAGTTTCCATAGTGTGCTTCGACTCATTTCAGGGTAATCCTTATCATCTCGAACCGTGGCACGAATTTTGTCTACTGTCGGAAATTCTTTTCTAAAGAAGAACGCATGCACTTTCCTTCGAAGTTTTTCTTTCAAAAGATTTCTAATTGAAATTCGCCACATTTCTCTTCTTTAACAACTCTGTAAATCGTAGATTTCCCAACACCAAGCGTACTACTAACTAATTCCACTGTGTCATCAACACTTTTACATAAATGTTTGTCTGTAAATGATTTAAAACAATTAAATATTAATGTTTTTTCATTAACTGTTAAAGGACCGATTTTTTGTCGAATTCACACTGCACCTTGCAAGTTGCAACTAAACGACATTTAGTAAACTGTCAAGAATACACAACTTGGACCTCCTTACTAAATGGAAAACCTATAATCGCATTTTCGGTGAAATTTGTTGGGAAGATATTTATCTACTTATAATTCGATTACTGTAAGAAATTCTTGGAATTAAAATAAAACAAAATTGGCAAATAGGTACTTATTGAAAATAATCTTAAGATACGGCTATGTAATCTTTAATACACAGGGCTTTTGGCCTGTCCAAACCTTTTTCTATTGTTCTATACAGCTTATGTTTATAAAGGACCAATAAAAGACCCAAAACTTGTAATATCTCAGGTACATTTATTACAATTTTAGGAAATATTTAGATTATTCTGTAAAAATACTGGGTCTTCAACAATACCGAAAACCCACGTGACCAAATCGTCATGACAGCGATTGGTGAAAATAAAAGTAAAAATCCCTAGATGTGAGCCAGTGCCGTAGGTATTTTATTACAAAATAGATCTTCTTTTTTATGGTCTGCAACTACGAGAACAAAATTCAGTTAGGTAATTGTTAGAATTACAACACAAAATCATAATATTAATTAGAGGTGTTTTACATTATTGTATTTTAATGTTAGAATTCGATATTTTAATTACATTTAGTCAAATGCAATAATCTTATTTTTAAAATTACGATATAATTAACATAACCTTAAAAACTGAGCTATTTATTTTTAACGAAAAGAATAATAAACTGAAATATGGTTCGTACTAGTTATTACAAAAACAACCTTTACCCGAACAGGGTGCAACAAAGTTGAATAAAATTAAAAATTATTTACTTTAGATCGACTCTAAGATATTTAGCTACAGCTGAAACTTTAAAAAATTTAAAACTTACTGGAATTGTATCTGGGCAATGGGAAGTAATAAACAAATAATTTTTTAAGTTTGTTCTATTATTTATTTGTTACAGGGTTTAAACCATTTACGAAATACTTTATGTTACTAATATGTACCTATACAAAACAATATTAATATTATTAATGTAACGAGAACATATTTGTTTTACCTTACAGCTCTCACTTTAAATTATAAAGGCAGACCAACTATTTTATTTAAAAGGATATTGAGTAGTAATCGGTGGTGCACAAACTATACTAATTCACAGTACCTATCTGTTCAAAATCTTTACCACCAGCTTTAATACAAGCATTAATCGTTCTTTTTTTGAACACATTATGCAGTTTCTTCTCAGTTATATTGCGTATTTCATTTAATATAGGTGCTCCAGTTTATAAACGTCACATAAACGATTTTGAATTGAGCGATCAGTAATATTCCATAGATAGGTTTAACAAAATTAAGGTAAAATGATTGTTGCAGTACCGAAACTTTATAGGGGATGCATTATCAGAAATGTTTTTAATACTTTATGGCTAGTTCGTAGCGACAAACCTAAAAAATGTGTTTTGAATTTTACTCGCCAGTCAGTCTTTAAAACACCGTTCATACCTGTTTGAGGTGCTGTTTTTTTTACTAATTTATTGGGAATTTGCACCATGTTAATTTGCACATCTTCAACAGCTTTTGTTATTACTGTGGGCCTTTCAGAGCCTTTTCCTTTTTTATAATTTTGAACAAGTATTTGTTAATGACGACAAAAAAGAATCACATTCCATTTATTCACCTAGAAAATGTTCCTCAAATTTTCGAATACAATAACGAATATAAAATAATTTTGTTTCTGTGTAACATTACCTGAAATAAATTATATAGTCATTAACTTTTACGAGTTACAGTAAATAAATTTGTACTTACCAACAAAAAAAAGGATTAAGCCACCAATAATCTCTATAGAAAAACTAATTGCTTTATTAATATTAAATGAAAAATGGAATAAAGGTATTTATAAAATGTAAACAAATATAATATAAATATAGTAAGTCCCCAAATGAACGCCAGTGACATTTCTGACAGGACTGACAGTTCAGTTTAGTTACTTTTACGTCAAATCAGACCCTTTCGATGGGTTTTAATGGTTATCAGATCACGTGGGTTTCGGGTATTGTTGAAGACCTGGTATTTAAAATGACCGTACTAAGTTTTGCATTAGAAATGCTGTTTTATTACTCTATCATACATAAAAATAGACTATAGTAATATTATAAAATAGATGCCTAACAAAAGGCCTCAAAATTGTCTAGCGCATAGGGTCTCATGTTAGGTAAAACCGACCCTGTCCAAATTTTATTGGTTGTAGTGGTCGAGTGTAGAAACATTCCGTATGACCATTGAGTATATGATTGCAAGGCGTCCGTTCCCTTGGTTGAAAAATTACGTCTTTTTTCTGGTAGTTATTTAGTAGTTAGTTTTGTTTTCGAAGGCTCACCCTGTATATATCTTTTAGGCAAGTATATGGCCAATGGGAAAGATGGTAGGTGGAACTGGTATGTTGAATAATATGATATATGTAAGAGGTCACCCGGAAGATTTTAACAATTGGTTTAAAGAAAAAGAAGGATATTCGTTTAAGGAATATGTCTTGCCTTACTTCAAAAAAGTGGAAAAATGGACACATGAAAGTAGTTAGAATTTTAATGTTTAAATATTCATATTAACTTAATGTTATTTTAGGTGATTATGGTTCTGTTTATATTAGCAATTTGTCATTTTCCACAAAATTGTCATCGTATGTACTAAAAGCTGCTAAAGAATTAAATTTTGACATTACACAACATACCGAAAATTGTGAAGAGGGTGAGTTTTTTCTTAGCCAATTTTTTACTAAATCCTAATCAAGGTAACAGTCAAACTGAAATCAATAAAATGTCTTATTACATTGTTTTCAGAATAAAAAAAAACTAGCTAAAAATATGGGTATATCAAATTTACTTTTATTGATTGCCGAGTATTTTCAATTTAAAAAGTAAAAAACGCTAGAAATTAAGAGGTGGAAACCACTGAAACAATCTTCTGGAAAATATCTGAAGGGTGAACCACTGCCGAAATACTGGTACGTTTTCACCAGAAATCACCGACATCTCTTATAAATCTTTCAAAATTCCCGAAATCACGACCAAAATCACTTCGAAATCAATACTTCTCGCGCGCCCGAAATCAACATATGGGAATTGGTCGGAGTGACTCGGGCTGTTGGGATTTGGCGCGATGATAACGCAGCAGATAAAAAGTGATGTAAATAAGAAGAAAGAAAATATTTTTCTCTTGTGAGAAAGCATCTAAATATTTTATTATTACAAGAAGAATAATTTTAATAAGATATTCGAGTTTTCAACTCATGCCACTTTCACAAAATACTCTTAAATTTAAATGTACTTTAAACTGCTTAAACCAAAGGTCTAATGGATTCAGCTCAGCCATCAGCGTTACTGTATTCGCTCCGTGCGCGACAGCAGCGCCAATTCGTTTTGATACTATTGGACTATTTCTGCGTATACTGACAAATACAATTTTTAATAGAATTCGTAATTAAAAAGTATATATGTAAGTTTTAATAAATGTATATGGATTTGTAAAACAAGTAAAACATTAATTTATTATTATTATTATATATTTTTATCGCTTAAATTAAAGAAAATTATGTATAATCATTAAAAATCAATAATAAAATATAGGCAGGCAACAGTATTTACTGGAAAACGTATGAGAAGTTGCCTAAGTCTAATAAGTTGTCATTGAAGAATTAGCATATTCTGTCAAAATAAAAAAAATACCATTAAGACGGAATTTGCACGCCAGGAAATTCATAACAAAAACTACAAATTAACTAAGTTGTCAATAGATGGCGATTAGATGCACTTCTGCGAAATAATTCAAATGTTGAATTATACCTGCCTGTTTGCCAAGTTGTGTAAACTACTTTCCGGCGACCCGACAAGCGTCCCCTCCCTCCCAAATCTAAAGTGCTCGTAACATTTTATTGTACCGCCAGACGAGACAAACACTATAACATTAGAATATCGAACCTATAGGGACCGTATTTAAATAATTTTGTCCACGACCACTTAATAATAAATCAATATTCTACCTCCTAACTAAAAGCATATAGTACCCATATATCACGGAGTGAATTATGATAATTCACGCTTTTGTAATTCTGGCACATTCCGGTAGATAACTAAAGATAGGCGATACTTTTCATAACGATATTTTCTAGATCGAAAAATCAAAAAATCGATAAATCAAAAAATCGAAAAATCGAAAAATCGAAAAATCGAAAAATCGAAAAATCGAAAAATCGAAAAATCGAAAAATCGAAAAATCGAAAATTGAAAAGTGGAAAAAACAACAGTTAGTTATCTATGTTTAATAAAAACTTCGAAAATCGAAAATTGAAAAGTGGAAAAAACAACAGTTAGTTATCTATGTTTAATAAAAACTTTCCATTCTACACTTAACTTTTATTTAATGAAGAAACCATAATGGTCGTGGACAAAGTATAGTATTAGACTCGCAATTTATGGCCATTATTCACACGGGTGACTTGCGCCCCTCGCCTACGGCTCGGGACGCAAACGTCATCCTGCGTGAATAATGGCTACCATAAATTGCTCGTTTAATAATATACTATTATGAACCAGAATAAAACTTTTAGGACAATGTAATATAAACATTTGAATCTATTTTGGTTCGTATATTATTAAGTAGTTCTTTGTTCATCCAGTCTGAGCTTATTTGTTAGTTATCATTGTTTTGTTTTGTGGTTTTTTAGTGTTTTTATAGGTAATTACACGTTACCCAGCAGTTGATCAACTGAGTTTGTTTATTAAATTTCATTTTGTTCTTGTTTGTGGTGGCGCAAATAGATTATGCTTTTATGCTTAAGTAGGCCTTAAGGATAAAAGCATAATCTATTCGCTCCATTATTTATCCATCATGATTTAAAAAGCAGTGAAGCGATTGACAGTTGTAAGCAAAACATGTTTGACGACGGTGAAGACGGTCAATAATAAGTAATAGTAATAATTCATTTTATTGACCTTAAATTAACCATTTACGAAAAAATCTGATGTGTCCAACACATGACTTTCCTATCTAGTTATTACAGGCTTTTCCCGATTATTTTGTACAACCTATTGCAGCAACTCTGTAAATGTTTAAAGGATAAACTAAATATATACATTTACATACTTTGATTTTCTTTTACTATACGGAGAATGGTTGCACTGCGCAGCTTTCTGAGTGCCTTTTAAAAGGAGATAAAAAACTCCGCCATTTTGAACCCTTATTACGTGTTGCCTACATCTTGGCGCAATATTTTTAATAGGTGCGTTTTAATCATCCGCTTCTGCTTCGGAATTGTCGGTTTTCTTGTTTTAATCTGACAGGTTAAAACGACTAAACCGACAATTCCGGAAGCAGAAGCGGATGATTAAAACTCACCTGATATTTTGCTTGCTGCTGTCAGTGTCAGTGAATATTATTTTTGAAGTCACAGTTTATTGCTAAAGAATCAGTTAGCTCACTCGGACCAGTTGAAAGTTCCAAAAGAACATCCACTCCAGGGATACAAATTCAGGATACGCAGAAGACTGCTGTTTTATTATAGGCGGTTGTTATATATTATATTATCCGAGTTGCACAGTGTAAAAACTGAAACATTGAGATCAAAAGTGCCGACGCAGAGTGAGCGATCTGATTCTTTAGCTGTAGACTGTGTCACAGGGTTCAAAATGGCCGCGCCCTATGTTGGGCGTGTCGGACCTCTCTCTTGCCTCGTATAGTAATCAAAGTATGTGTACATTTCATTCATAAAAATTGTAAATTCGTAAAATAAGATATTCAGCGTTGCCGTATTTACGGAGTTCTTCGAAACCCTAATATTTTTGTTTAGATTAATATTGATTTTTTAATAAAAAATTTAGCTTATATTAAAACTTCAAAGAGTAATTTGATTAAAAACATATTTTTACTTTCCTATCTGTATACAGATATAAGGAAAGTATAGGAATCATGATTTTTTGATGGATTTTTACGTTTTGAGGTCCCCTGAATCCGTTTTGACTATTTTCGCGATGATGTCTGTGTGTGTGTCTGTGTGTCGCATAACTCATGAACCGATACACGGAAAAACACCAAATTTTAAACTTAAGCTTTGTTCCAGCGTCCAATGTGCTGATTAGATTTTGGGCAGTGTCGGAACATCTGGGGGGGTACTTTATAGGTGGTCATTTTTATATTTTATGGAATATATCTGTTATTTACGTTTGGGGAAGAAAATTCTTCAAATAAAAGTTACTTCTTATATTATTATCCAAAATTTTTGTTCTATACAAAATTTTCCTAAAATGGTCCGTATTCGAGAAATTTGACAAAATGTAAAAAAATATTTTTTTATAAAAATTGTTTAAACAAAAGTTGTTTGTAATATAATTCTCTATAATTTTTATTCCTTACATAATTTCTCTAAAATGTACCGTATTCGAGATATTTAAGAAAATGTGTAAATTTCGAAATTTGAAGAAAACTCAAAAACGGATAAAGAAAGAAACATAAAATTTTAAACTTAAGTTTTATTTCGGCCTAACGTGAAATGGTTAGATTTTGGAAAAAGTCGGAACATCTGGGGGGGTACTTTATGGGGGGCCGTTTTTATATTTTATGGAATATATCTGTTATTTATGTTTGGAGAAAAAATTGTTCAAATAAAAGTTATTATCTATAATTTTTGTTTTATGTCAAAATTTCCTGAAATGGTCCGTATTCGAGAAATTTGACAAAATGTGCAAACTTCTGTTTTTTATGAAAATTGTTAAACTAATAGTATATTATTAAACGAGCAATTTATGGTAGCCATTATTCACGCAGGGTGACGTTTGCGTCCCGAGCCGTAGGTGAGGGGCGCAAGTCACCCGAGTGAATAATGGCCATAAATTGCGAATCTAATACTATACTTTGTCCACGACCATTATGGTTTCTTTATTAAATAAAAGTTAAGTGTGAATGGAAAGTTTTTATTAAACATAGGTAACTAACTGTTGTTTTTTCGATTTTTCGATTTTTTTTTAATTTTTCGATTTTTTTTCGATTTTTCGATTTTTTGATTTTTCGATTTTTTTTTTTCGATTTTTCGGTTTTTTTTTATTTTTCGATTTTTTTCCGATTTTTTCGATTTTTTTCGATTTTTCGTTTTTTTTTTTCGATTTTTCGATTTTTTTTTCGATTTTTTTCGATTTTTCGATTTTTTTCGATTTTTCAAATTTTTTTTCGATTTTTCGATTTTTTTTCGATTTTTCAAATTTTTTTTCGATTTTTCGATTTTTTTTCGGTTTTTCGATTTTTTTGATTTTTCGATTTCTCGATTTTTCGATTTTTTGATTTTTTGATTTTTTGATTTTTCGATTTTTTTTTTATTTTTCGATTTTTTTTTTCGATTTTTCGGTTTTTTTTTTATTTTTCGATTTTTTTCCGATTTTTTCGATTTTTTTCGATTTTTTTTTTCGATTTTTCGTTTTTTTTTTCGATTTTTCGATTTTTTTTTCGATTTTTCGATTTTTCGATTTTTTTCGATTTTTCAAATTTTTTTTCGATTTTTCGATTTTTTTCGATTTTTCAAATTTTTTTTCGATTTTTCAATTTTTTTTCGATTTTTCAAATTTTTCGATTTCTCGATTTTTCGATTTCTCGATTTTTCGATTTTTTGATTTTTTGATTTTTTGATTTTTCGATTTTTCGATCTAGAAAATATCGTTATGAAAAGTATCGCCTATCTTTAGTTATCTATCGGAATGTGCCAGAATTACAAAAGCGTGAATTATCATAATTCACTCCGTGATATATGGGTACTATATGCTCTTAGTTAGGAGGTAGAATATTGATTTATTATTAAGTGGTAGTGGACAAAAGTTGTTTGCGATATCGACTCTATAATTTTTGTTTATACATTATTTTTCTAAAATGGACCGTAATGGAAAAATTGTAGGAAAAGTGCTAAATTTAAATTTTTCAGTATTTTAATTTTCAATGAATATCATAGAAAAATGTTTTGAGGTAGATGTATGTTGAAAATGTATATATTTAGTTTATCCTCTAAACATTTATAGAGATGCTACAATAGGTTGTACAAAATAACCGGAAAAAGCCTGTAATAACTAGATAGGAAAGTCATGTGTTGGACACATCAGATTTTTATTTATATAATATAAAATTATAGTTACAGGACACATCAAATTTTATTCTTCGAAAGTAATTTCTCCAAATAATTTTGACAGACTGATAAAATCGGCAAAGACGCAATAAACGAGAATCTGACGGGAATAATGATTTGCCACATAAAAATGTAAACAATTTGGTCTCTTAGTTGTAATGTCTTTGGAAATGCCTTATATTCCCGCGCTTTTTTCTCACAGAAGTAATGCGAAATAGTTGAATAACGGAAAAGGTGGATCGAAGTCTCTCAATCTCAAAACACATTTTTTTTTATATTCTAGGTTTTGGACTTCCGAAGATCAATTCAATAAACGGCCAACGTTGGACACCAGCTAACATGCTTCTTAAAAAAGGTACTCCAAACATAATTCTCCGTACCAAACGTATTGTAGAAAAGATTTTATTCCATAATAATTTTGAAGCTTATGGCGTTAAATATAGCTATTTGGGAGACACGTACATTGCCAGAGCATCGAAAGGAGTTATTTTGTCAGCAGGTAAATATTTTGCAACCTTTTAATAATGACTTAATAATTATAAAAGAATTGTTAACTGCTAGAGTATATATAGTTGAATCCAGGAATGGAAACATAGTTGCCATAATATGCTGACACATCTGTCATTGCTCTAAATTTCAAAGATATTTTCAGACGTAACGTGACAGGGGAAATAATTTTTAGTGGTAGGCAATTTTAATGTTCCATTGCATTTTAATTAAATAAATAAATAATTTTAATTTTTTATAATTGAAATGACGTCAGTAATTAATGGTACATTTCCACACTACTTCTGAGGTATTCCAGCTAGCATATAAACATCCCATCTACGTTAATAAGCTGCAATTTCGGGCTTTCAATCCACTTTTGATGTAACCCATACATTCGTGCAACCACCGAATGTCCGCAACTGAAAGATGTATCATACTTGGTACTTTCCCTATTTATATTTTATTGGTTAGATTGACGTAGGGGAGAGTTGATCATATTATAGAAAGGTGTCCCCCCTTGAAATAAAAATCGACCTCTTTTGGCGTTTCTTTAAAAAAAATTCTACTTCAAGATATTCTGAGATACGGCCGGTCGCCACCCATAATGAATCACCTTGTACACGTATGCGATACTGCAAGCGTTGTATGTGTTGTGTATTTTCATTAAAAAAGACCACACTTTTAATAAGACATTTTATTTTATCCCAAACTTCGAAAATACAAAAAGATCAAAAGGTGCAAAGTCACGACGTTGACAGTCGACATTCCAAGTCTCGTCAGTATTGGCAACCTTGTACGAGCCTGCGTTCATAACAGTATGAAGATATAGTAGGATAATCTTATGGACATTTGATTTAATTGCAATGAAGATCACATTTAGATGGCACCACTCCCATGATGTCCAAGTCAGGTCTTTAGGTCATGTCGATGCTTGAGTGTAAATTATAATTTAAAATCTTCTTTTTCATTTCTACGTATCTTTGGTAATGTGTTTTTAGTCACAATTGAAAATATTACAGATGTTACAGGTAAAGGGCATTTGAAGGTCACTAGAAGTTGTTAACAGGCAGAGCTGCTGTAAGTACCCATAAAATGTACTTAAGTCTCAAGCACAAATACTTTTGAAAATTACGAGTAAGTACCAGTATAAGTACAATTACATCTATTTGGTATTTAAGTACCTAGTAATTAAATCCTAAAATTTAAGTACATTAGCCTTAAGTACATAGAGACGTACTTATGTACTTTATAGAGTAGTTAACTTCTGAAATATACTTCAGTGCAATGTAGGATAAATACATTGTTTACTTAAGTACATATACAGATGTACTTAAGTATATTTAGGTCTAAATAAGTACTTACAAAACACTTAAGTACATTTGTGTTTACTTAATTATATAAAAATAATAGATAATCTATACTGGTGTGAAGCTTAAAGGTCTAAGTCAGCTCAATTTAAATATAATTGCTAACCGGGATTAGTAATATTAGACATTAGTAATAAAGTATTTATTAATAAACAGTTCATATTTTATGTACAATTTAAAAATAAAATAGTAGTACAAGATAAAATAAATATTCCTTTATAAATAAAATAAAAAAATAACAGAGTACCACAAAAACTTATAAAATACATCAGTACTACTACTAACAAATCTATTTGGATCTTGAGTCTAAATAACCATTTGATTTAAGAACGACTAGTGTTTCAAAGCATGTCTACGGGGCGCAATAACAATTCCAGCAGTCTTTCGACTGGTGCGGAACATGGCAGGATCGTGTTGTATTTAATATAAACTAACTTTATATACCTATAATCGTTTAGCAGAGCTGGGACGAATCCTCGAAAAATGGATTCGAATCACGAATCCGAATCACGAGATGTGATTCGAATCACGGATCCAATGTTCGAATCCTTTTTCAAAAAAAAAAAAAAAAAGGATTCGAATCCAGTGATTCGAATCCTTTTTTTCGGATCACGGATCCGAATCACTGTCACTGTGGTATTAATTATACTCATTGTAATGCCAATAAACTGGAGTGGGGTAGAATGCTTGTCAATAGGCTTGAGATGCGACTCTATGGGCAAAGACAGGTTATTTTTCATCTCACTCGGGAGTATTTATAGCAACCATTTTCTATTTCACTTTGTTATTGTCTGATCCACCAGCTTGTGGATTGAACAATAACAATGTGAAACAGAAAATGGTTATTATAAATCGCCGGTGTCGTTGTTTTAAAAATTTTGTGGGCTACGAGGTTTTCTGTAATGGTAAATATGGGTAACCGCAACAATTTGACGTAAAAATCTCATTTTTGTCAAAATGAGGGTTACGAGGTATTAGAACGACACCGACGAAATACTCCCGAGTGAGATGAGAAATAAAAATGGCTGCGCTCATAGAGTCGCATCCTGTTCTGTTGATACAATATGCACATTGGCTTCCCAGACAGCACACCAAATCCTTTGGATATCTACTGAACATCCCAATATCCACTGAATGTCCAGTCCATGGTGGATATCTATTTTATATCCATGAAATGTAATTTATAGACATGCAAAATGTCCATAAATAATAGTAATTATATAGCAAATTATTAAAAAATTACGCCATTGTGGCTAATAGTACCGTTCAGATATTTAAAATTAATTTTTTTAGGGTGTATTCAATATCCCATGGACATCCACTATAAATATATCAAAGTATAAGCGCGGACGCAAACCATCGTGGGTATCTACTAGATGTAATTTTTGATTTTGATTCCTAAGTATAGATGGCGATACCTCTTCCGTATCTACTCATGCTTAACCCGCCGTAATTGAGTTCGATCGACATTTTTTTCACAAACAGACTCCATTAGAGACTGGAGTCGAGAATTTGCATTTATTGCTGAAGAGTCCTAATAAGGATGACTTTCTCCTTAGTGCCCTTAGTGGGCAAAATCAAAGGCAGAAATATTTTTTATCTCTATTTTCTTTCGGCGTTATTCAATAATCATTGGTTACTTATGAACCTCTACTAAAGATACCTATAACCAACCTATAACCTATAAAATATTTTGCTGAATATCTGAATTCTATATCCTGGGATATAGACGGACATATATGGTGCGTTTGATTTGATCATCGGAGATCTCCGAGCGCTTCAAAAGTGTTTGAATTGACACTCCGAGAGATCCCTAAAGTGTTTGTTTCGCTTTGGAGCGACAACATAGAGCGAGCTCGATGTTCTCAGAGCAGAAAGATCGAGAAGAGGGAGAAATTTGTCTTTGTCTCTACCTATCTCTTTTTAATTAACTTACAAACAAATTTGAATCTCAAAATTAAAGACCAGACAGAAGTCAACAAATTACTTAGCCGCTTTTGTCTTAAAGCTAAAATTATTCATCATAAAAAAACACAAAATGTGTGTTTGGAAAATATATTTTTTCTGTCCAGATCTAATCACCGGTAATCACAGTCATGGAGTATCAGAGCGAAGCGGGCATTTGTGATAAATGCTGCATTTCAGGGCCATTACCCCTTATTATTAAAAGTTTTTCCATTTTCTTTACTTTTTGCTCACTATTTTAACATACAAACCAGAAACAAGAATCACAAAAAAGCGAGGTTATGTTTTTTACTCTGTTTTATTTGATTTGATTCAATGCTCTATTGTGACGTCATCACTTCTCGGTCTCCTCGACGCTCGCTCGATCGAGTTTCAAATCAAACGCCCCTTTGGTTGGATATCCTCAAAATATATTCTGTGGATATCTCTGGGATTTCTTGTATTGTCTGGAGATACTCATTAGATATTTTGCTGAATATCCTTAGGATATCTTCTATATTCTGGATATAGACGGACATTTGGATATCCATATTAGATCCACAGAATATTTCTGATATCCTGTGGATATATTGGATATCCACAAAATATATTCTGAGGATATCTCTGGGATTTGGTGTGTTGTCTGGGTTTCTACCTCACTCCAGTTCATTGTGTAATGCTGCCAATTCTCTTATATTTGTTAAGGAACTTTGTTATACAATTCTGTAAAATGAGTTTTGACCCGTAAATAAATAAATAAATAAATTAATAAATAACATTTAAAACTTGAAGCTGGCTGTCACATTTAGCATATAGGCGATTACCTAAGTGACTACCTTAGATTAAAGAGACCGAAGATGTAACATTGCACACTGCGCATGTTGTCTATTTTAAGCCAAAGTAACCCACCAATTGAAAATCATTGTTGCACGACGCCACCCGAATTGCTCCGATTTCCATTCAGCGATCACCTCCACCTGAGTTTAATTACCATTGACAGCTGTTTTTTGATTTATTTGTTGGTATTTTAGCAATTTAAAGTGTTCTAGTTATTCAATTTCAAGTTCAAAATGTCACGATGTATCTTGAAAAATTGTATGTACTTATAATACAAGTACTACTGTTATGAATATATTCGTTTTCAGCGGTAAATATTTATTAACGTTTTGACATAAAGCGCCATGATTCTCTGGGCTGAATACTTCAGATCCGCATTAAGGGGTTTCAATAAATATTAAGCATCAGAAATCAGATTTCATATTACTTACATACATTTACAAAAGGGTAAAATTTTGAACATTTAATTTAAATAAATAGAAAATAGGCATTATTGCTAACGAAATTTTGTATTTAAAAAGTAGTTTTATAAGAATGTTTTCCAAAGGTAGTTTTTAGCCCTTTTTGGTAAATAAATAAGAGGTAAAGAATCATAGTTGCTAGCTAAATTTTATTTTTATAAGGTATTTTTATAAGGTATAAGGTATTGTTATAAGGTATTTTTATAAGAATATTAGATGAAATACAGGATGACCTACTTAAAATTTCAAGGTTCATCTTATTTGCGGTCAAATCGAAAGTGACATTGAATTTTCAGTCTTAAAACAAAGTAATCTAGTATGAGCCCAAAAAAAATACTAAAGTTACAGGAGTTAGGTCCGATTCCACCGTTGTGTTAAACGGAGATTAAAATAACAGTGTTAATGTAAAAATGTCATTTTAAAC